GGAGAAGAGAGGGGGCGGTTAGAGAATGAGACAGAAACAAGAAGAGAGAAACGGAGCGAGAGATGGGCGAGCAGAAGGCACTAGGCATAAGGAAGAGAAAGGAGAGAGGGAGGTGGGTCGGACGCAGGCGGGGAAGAGGAGGTAAAGGGAGGGAGAAAAGGAGGAGGGTGAGAGAGGAGAGACGAGGAGGATGGGAGAGAACGATGGCGGAAATGGAATGAAAGACAGAAGCAGACAAAAGCACAGAGACAGAGAGCAGAGGAAGAAAGGTGAGAGGGAGAGAGAAAGAGACGATCGAACGCGAGAAACTCGCGACGACGATGAAAGGGAGATTTGGACACAGAAAAAAAAAGAAAAGAAAACCCAAAAAAAAAAAAAAAAACAGAAGGCTACTGGAGACTCGAAAGACGAGGGATACGGCTACCTTCTTCCCCCGAATACAACGTACAGCCATAATAGCTGTATTTGGGCTATCTTTCAGTCTAAATACAGCTATAATGATCGTACGTTGTATTCGGAGGAAGAAGGTAAGAGAGAAGGAAGAAGAATGAGCCTCACGAGGCTGCGAGGAGGAAAGGAAGGAAGCACTGGACAGAAAGAGACGAAGGAAGGGACAAAGAGGGAGTGAAAGGTAGAGAGCCGTACACAGCCAGAGTCGCGAAAGTGGAAAAAATGTGACACCTATGCTGCCCCTTTTGGTCATTAACGATGGCATCGAGCAAGACCTCGCTAGGCCTGGTCATGTCCGCATATTCGCGAGACGTAAATACGACAGATGGAGGGTCATCTGCACAAAGGCGGGGATTCCTGACCAAACGAGGCGTGACTAGAACGAGGCCTACGTCACACCGGCATCAAGATGTCAACCGTCTGAATGCCAACCTCGATCGAGTGGTGGAACAGGTGCGTTGCAAAGATGTGCAGAGACGACGCATTTTGCATCCATCCACAATTTGGGGCCTGTCTCTTATACACATCTAGATGTGTATAAGAGACAGCTCTTGTACCTGGTCGTGATTAAGGTCAGATGCATTCCGGAAAAAGCCAGTG